AAAAATTGTACTGTGATTTCAGGAGCGTCAGAAAAAAAACCCTCTAAAACAGAGGGGAAGTTCCAAGAAAATTTCTAATGGGAGCTGCTGACAGAGATATAGGAAACACAGGTAATCTGAGAAAGCTTATTAAATAACTTCATATGCATTTTTCACAATATATCATCATGCATCTGAAAATCTAAAAATGTGAATTCTGGTATATTAAGATGTTTTCCATATTACTGTTTCTCTTTTCTGCATTTCACCTATGCTCTAGTTTGTTTATTTCTAATAAACCTGACACTGTATACTATATATTGTTGGCTCTACAAATTGTTCCTATATATACACAAAATAATGTTCTTTTTAGCAGCATCATATGACCCCTTTAACAGTCTGTAAAGGTTATGATCTGCCAAGCTGGATGGAAGGTGAAGGTGAATTTTTTTATTAGTCAATTTGCCGATCTAACATTAAATGTAACTATAGACTTATAATGTTTTGTATTGTAAAGTTATTAAGTTCCCAATGTTTAATTTTATAATTTCCTGGTAGTTTATTAGCACGTGAAGTGGTCTGGGTTGCAGTCTGAGGTAAAATGATATAGATCCATTTAGTTGTTTAAATATTATTTTCTAAACTTTAAACGAAGTGAAGTGTTTGTTCAAGTAGACTTTGTTGCTTGTGGAAACCTCACGCGAAAGTCTGAAAGTTACTTAAATCTTAAAGTTTTATTTGCACTCTTGAAGACTGTTCACCAAAGATTACATTTCAGTCAGGCAGAATTTCCTGCACACTTCACCACCAAAATGAGCTGTAGAGGCCAAAATGAACATTTTGAATGCAAGAGCCTCACGTTACATTTAAAACAATCATTGTTAGTGTTTGAATTGTATTTCAGGGCAGTTCGTGAAGACAGATAATCAATGTTATGACAACCTGTACAGAAGTCAGTTCCAGATCCACCCTTCACACAATACCTCTCTCTCATATGGATAGCTGTCTACTAGCATATTATGTGCTCTCTTCTGACTTAGGTGGATGCAGATATTACTCAGGGACATGAACACTTGAATATTGCAAGAATAGAGTAAGGGGCAATGTCATGAACTGGACAGTAGTAAGAATCACTTAAGATTTAAGAATTTAATGTTAATTGCTTAAAAAAAAAAAAAAAATATATATATATATATATATATATATATATTTATATATTTACTGTTTTTTTGTTTTGTTTTCCAAAGCACCTAAAAGCCTATTCACACTGCCAAAACAAAATAAGCATGTTTTTTTTAATAATTTTTTGTTGCAGTGTAAACTGACCATAATGCTTTATTTTACTTTTTTTATTTATTTATTTAGTTGGCAGGGACATTGTACATTAATAAAACATTCCTGTAAATGTACCAGAATTAGCCAAAGGCTATTTTACATCCGTAGTCCCTGGACAAGATGTTACAAGTCACCCTAAAATAAAATGTAATTAAAAATACATACTAAAAAATTTTATAATTACATAGTTCAAATCATACAGTATTCTATTAAAAAACAATGGGATCAAATAAAGACAATGCAAACAAGATACAATCAATAATAGGATAGCTAGCAAATATAAAATTCTAGTGTTGACAAATCTGAGTATGAATTAACCAATTCTTCAACTGAACCCTAAATAAAGCATATGTGTCTAGATCTCGTTTTATTTATTTATTTAGTTGACAGGGATATTGTACATTAATAAAACATTCCTGTAAATGTACCAGAATTAGCCAAAGGCTATTTTACATCCGTAGTCCCTGGACAAGATTACAAGTCACCCTAAAATAAAATGTAATTAAAAATACATACTAAAAAATTGTATAATTACATAGTTCAAATCATACAGTATTCTATTAAAAAACAATGGGATCAAATAAAGACAATGCAAACAAGACACAATCAATAATAGGATAGCTAGCAAATAAATAAAAATAAATTTCTAATAAAAATAAAATTCTAGTGTTGACAAATCTGAGTACGAATTAACCAATTCTTCAACTGAACCCTAAATAAAGCATATGTGTCTAGATCTCGTATAGTTGTCGGACTAGTATTCCATTCTCGTGCAGCTTTGACAGAAAAAGCAGACTGACTAAAATTACTTCGTCTAAGCGGTATGATACAGTCTCCTCTTAATGCACCTCTTGTAGAACGATAATCAGTTGTTCTAATACTAACTAACTGACTAAGGGGGAGAAGATAAACAATAAATAATTTTATACATCAAGCATACATTTGCATACTTAATCATGTTTTCCCAACTTAACAAATTATATTTTTTCAGTATTAGACAATGATGATAATGTACCGATTTCTTATTGAAGACTTTAAGTGTACGTTTGTATAAAGACTAATGGTTTTAGAAAATTTCACTATCTTCCTCGTAGTCAATACCCAATAATATATTTTCCCATTCTATCTGCTGAATAGCACCTTTAAATTTGTCTTGTTTATTCTTTGGTATCCCAAAGGATTCACATTTCTTAACAAATGAGCTAAACCTCTTCTTAGTTAGTTTCCTAGTTACCAGAATCATATTATGGTTAGACAGACCAGTTAACATATTACAGGATTTCAAAATTCTCTCAGGTCTATTAGTAAATATTAGATCAATTTGACTTTTAGTAGAATTAGTTATTCGAGTAGGTCCACTAATTAATTGTTTAAGATCAAAACTATCAGTTATCTGCTTAAGATTTTTCCTAATAGATTTATCTTCCCAATTAATGTTAAAATCACCCATGATAATTACCTCCTTGTTAAAATTGCATTCTTTCAATAAAGTCTTAAAATGGCCTTGAACCAGGAACCAATGTTTCTTCCACATGTCCAAGGCACGTAAGCATCGCCGCTTGACCTTGATCATGCGAAGCGGATTCCCCCTAGGGGATGGTATCCTTTATATATATCATTACTCCACCTCCTTTGGAGCCTTCTCTATCCTTTCTAAAAACATTAAAACCAGGCACCTGAACTACTGCAGTAGGAACATTTTCGTGAAGCCAAGTCTCTGATAAACAAAGGAAATCTAAATTTGAGTTGAGTAAGAGATGATGAACTTGATCACTTTTCGATTTAATACTTCTTATGTTTAGGTGACCACCTAAGAGACCCTTCATTTTAGCTTTAGGATCCCAAACTATTCTAGATTGATTGAGAGTTCGGAATATCTTCCATTTTAAATTTTTTTAAATCGCTGGATTAACCACACTTTTATTTACACCTTTCATCTTTGTCCCGACTTAAATTATCTAACGTTAAGTTCAAGTCAGTAATATCAGAAGTACTACGTGGATCGGCATCTCCTCCACTCCTCCAACCGGCCGACACGAGCGAGCCCACCGACAA